CACCCGACAGCCTCCAAGGCCAAAGGCTTCCGAGGAGCCTCCGGCTCTTCCCTGCCCAGGCTGCTCTGGAAAACCAGACTCGATCCTAAAGCCCAGCACAGTCGGGGTTCCAGGGGGGCACATTCCTTTTGCCCTGAGGAGGGAAACAACCAAGTCAGGAGGAGAAGAGCGAGAGGGGCAGGACATGCCATGGAGCCAGGAGCCAGCAGGGATGGGAAGTGCCCTCTGGAAGTGCAGGAACAGCTCCAGCCCCGGCGTGTGCGCGGCGGCAGCGGCGACGAGGCCACGGGAATTCTCTGGGGGCAGCACCAACCCAAGGAGTCCCAGTCTAAACCAGTTCACAGCAAGTCCCCAAGAGACTCAACATCGGCAAGACGGGTACACCCCCAATACACCCCCCATACACCCTGGATATGCCCTGGATACACCCTGGCACAGCTCCCCAGCCCCTCAACTCTTTCCTGTGCATCAAATTTGGGGGTTTTCATTCCATGGAGCCCCCGCCCCTCACCCTGTGAACAGACACTACAAGGTCTCCTCAGAACCAGGGCCATCCCCCCCCTTGGCTGGTTGGGTTTGCGGGTCTGTGGTGTCCAAAGCACACAAACACTCTCCTGTTTGGGTGGGTTTTCCTGGTCTGTGGTGTCCAAAGCATGGAATTCCCCAGGCCAACAGCCACGCTCCCAAATCATGGACCCAGAGCCCCCACACGCCCTCTCAGAGCCTCCTCTTGCCCAGGGTTCTCCCTGGGCACCCCGGGCTGGGAGGGGAGGAAGGAACTGACCTTCACCTCCGGGAGAAGCAGCTGGGAAGGTTTTATTTTAAAGCTGGGCTTGGCAAAGAGTGTGTGAGGGCTGAGGCTGCCTTGGGAGCACCCAAGGGACTGGGCACCTCTTCCACAGCCCTCTGGGCAGGAACTGGGGCTCTGCCACCCCCCAGAGTTCACCCAGCCAGGGGAACTGAACCACTGAGGAAAGGGGGCTCTTGGATCGGCACAAAACCCGCCGGATGAGCAAACGGTGATGAAGTCCCCCAGGAGATGGTTCAGTGCAGAGATGTCACCTCAGGCAGCCCTGGCAGAGCTCCCGGGCTGGGCAGGAGGGACAGGAAGGCACCTGGTGGCTGCAGGGACCAAGCCCAGGCTGGAACACGACGGAGCCACAACGTGGTGTAACCGCGGGGTGACCGGGACGGGGCCGTGCTCCAGGTGATGCCACTGAGAAACCAGGATTGTAATTACAGCTCACCGGCTAATCAGGGGGAAAATGGTTCTGGGATGCCACTGGAGAACAAAAAAGCCACTGGAATTGTATTTCCTTCAGATATGTTCTTTGGGAATGCCCCTTCACCTCCCCCCAGCCGGTGCCCCAGGCCTTGCCCTGGCAATGGGATGTCTGACCCTTCTGGAACAGATGCTGAGGGCAACATTCGGCTTTTTGGGGGATTTTTTTTTTTTTTAGTGATTTTTTGTCATTTTTTTAATCTGTGCACTTTGGGTTTCCATTCTGCTGCCCACCTGAGGCTCTCCAAGGAGATGTCCTTGACGAAACCTTGGCATGAAACCTTGGGTTTCATCCCAAGGGCAGCAAAGCCCTGGGACACCCAACAAAAGTTCTTTCAGGCTTTGCTGAGGACACAGTATCCAAACAAACACCTGGGATTTTGCCTGCCATG